TATATATATAAATAAAAATAAAAGACTTTAAATACCGGGTGTGGGTGAGCGAGCTCCTAAATCAGGGAGAGGAACCCTGTAGACAATGTGAAACAACGAAAGAAGGAGCGCTACAACCCTGGAATACTGGGTGTTTAACAGTTAAACAATTAAAAGATATAGTGTAACTATTGATGCAGACTCACTTTTGGACAGACAAGGTGGTATCTTACCGTTAATTGTCAGCACGGCTCGCAGGGTGGAATATGTGGCTGGTCTGTGTGGGAGTGAGCTCCGGGCTGTGGGGCTTCTGTTCAGTCCATGGATGTTGAAAGGTGAATCTTGTGGCCGGATGACCAGTTGAGGTGAAGTACACTGTGCGTGTAGTGGGACGCTCACCGTCAGGTGCAATGAGAGCTCAGCTGGCCAGGCTGCCACTCGTCGTAAAAAAAACCCCTTCTGTCTGGGGAAATTATTAATACCGACATTATCGCGGAACTCCAAAATAAGCAAATATTGTCTTGGTGTCCCTTTTCTATTTCTTCCAGATCTGTAGAGTAATCCAGTGTGAAACTTTGCCTCTGTGCAGGAGTTTCCTGTAATAAAAACCAGTCATGGCTGCTCTCTCTACTTGTGCAACGTGACTGTCTTGTATCCGTCCCCTCTAGTTTACTGTATTCTACCTGTAGTGGATGGGCCTGCTGGGTCCCTCCTTCATCTCTAAGAATTTATATCCTTTGTGGCTATTGAGGAATAAAAATAAATGAATTTCTTTGTGCCCAGAGTTCAGCTTTAGGTGAGAAGTAACCTGTATAGCAGAACCTTGGTAAGCACTAAAAACCAAGAGTTTTAATTCTTCCATACTCTCTGCAAAGTTAAAAAAGTTTTGGCTGGACATTCACTTTAAACAGATGGACTGCATCCCCTGTATTTCCATGCTAGATGTGTGAGTGAAATGTACCTTTAGGAAAAAAAATTGAATGTTTGAAGCTAATAATCAACACAACACATTCCTACACCAGAGGGGTCTTTAAATATTGTGCCAATTCATCGTTTGCAGTCCATCGTCAGCCACAGAAAATACTCCTTTGGGATGCAGCCCAGAATGCATGTTGTTATAATCTGAATTTTTGGAAATTATGCCTCATATAAAGGCCATAAGAAACACAATTCATATGCTCCCCTGATTCTGCTTTCAGAAAATATGTTCCAGCCATTCATCCTCAACATAAGCTTTTTAGAAATACAAGCCTTCATTATGTGAAATGAGAATGGTAACTGAATAGCAATAACCATGGAATACTTCCTAAACATAAAATAAAATGTAGCTAAACGTGTCAGCTGTGCAAGGCGTCATTTATGGATACTGCCCATAATGTACGTATTACACAGATAAATGTGTGCCATACCATCCTGTTGGCATTTTTATACCATATAAATTCACAGCAAACCACTTGATTTTGTTTTTTATGATTTGAGATGTGGAACACAAAACACGCAAACACTCAGCACTGTAAAGCTTGATTTGATGCATGCTACAAAGTACGTGGACTGAAAGCATCTTTCTCTCACTCTTTTTACTTAGATGATATTGCGATGCAATGAGGCAGCACAGTACATGCAGTTTTCCACCATGATGAATTAATATGTCTTATGCACTGTATTCGTAAGCGTTTGAATGAATACAGATCAACTCAGGTGAAATGCTTTAAGATGTAGAAACCGGTGTTTACTCTTGAACACCATTAGAAGAACCATATATCTCTCAATCATCTCAGTTCATTGAGTAAAATGACAGGTGTGAGCTTGTGCACAGGCAAGAATTGGTGCAACACTTGACAAATGCTTTTTCTCTTGACACGCTGTAAATTTAGATTATTCAAACGTGCAGCATGTGGTTACGCTTATGGATGAGAATGTTTTAGGAGTTTGTAATGCGTGTTGCATCACCAGGAGCAGTGGATGTTTTGATCATGAAGTGTATATTATCACCATGACTGTTTTCTATAGGAACTTGAAATACACAGCAGCTTCCAGAAGTCAACAACGTATTACTCTCCCCTCAAATTAATAACATGAGACAACTGAGTGCAGTAAATCATTGACATACTCTCTATGCAGTCTCTGCATATGAAAAAGGGCCCATCAGGGATGCTCAAGAAAGACGAATAAAAGGCTAGGTGTTAAGGTAAAGAGGGTCCTTTGCTGCATTGATACCTTTCCCTAGCTAGATAATGGGAGCAATACTATTTGCCTTTTGTTAATTTTACCTTTTTTCCTCCTGAAAAATAGTAGTGTACTTCCTGCTGTGTACCTTCATAGCTGTATATCTACAGTGTGATATCATCCAAGGCACTCTTGCTTCTGTTTGCTAGTCTCATAAGATTTGGTGATGTCACTACTGTGCTGTTTACTGTTCTCCTTGCTGGAGTGTAAGCTGGACCTAAGGACCAGCTCTGCATGCATCTCATTGCTTCTGATTTATCAGCACTGTGGATCTGTATTGTCTGCATCTCTCCTAATGCTGATTCATTATTTCTCTATCAGTAATCAGACCACCAGTCTTTATAGGGGAAGTTTTGACATGGGCAAAGGCATGCATCTGCAAAGATGGCCACCTCCACACAGAGACACAGTAGAACAAGACATATTAAGTTAGTAATCAGAAATAGAATCAAAGAGCCTGCAAGCAATGCTTATGTCTAGCCCTCTCTTTTCCTTTTTGAACACCGCTTCTACATTTCAGGTACTCTTTCATTTATGAAGACTTGTGTCATGGGATAGGGATGCTAAGGAATGGCAGTGGGAGATGGTGACATGTCAGGGACTGGGGCAAAATAGGAAACTGTCCTTGCATGCAGAACTTGTGGTCCTGATAAACTTTAGCAAGAAGCCACATCCAGCTACAATGAAGTACATTCATTGCCTAGGGACACTTCTGCCATATGTCTGCTACTGATAGCAACTATTATTCATAAATAAAGCAAGTGAATGTGTAGTTAACATATCACAATAACAGCATAAAAGGTAGCCAACACTGCACCATTTATAAACAATTTACTTATTAATAAAAACTAAGATTATTCAGACTTTGTACTCTACACACGGACCCTTATGACAACATTAGCAGGTATTATTTCAATGAAAATAAATATTTAAAAATAATGAAACAACTTTTGAAAGTGAAATTAACTTTTGAGATTAACTGCTGACCTCAAATCAACAAGAAAATACAATTAAAGCTAAAAAAAAACCAATAATAAGAACATAAAAAGGCAGCAATGGTGATGATTACCCAAAAATGTAGTAATTAGAGTGAAAGTAAGGTTTCCTAACTGACCCTAGTCTCTCTCAATGCAGTTTGCCAGCTTCCTTTAACCTTTTGCCTACGGCAGCTTTAATACTATGTCACTATGGCTGATGTTGGGGATGTGATTATTTTTTAAGATGCACTGCCCCACTTTAAACTTTTTCCTTCTAGGGGGCTTTCTAAGGAAACCATATTATATTATATGCATGCTGCATTTGAGTCAATAAAAAGCATGGTGTACACTTCGGTTTGTACTGGACTTCAGATCTAGTGTCTAGGTTGAAAATTTGTTTTTCAACATAGGAGTGAACAAGTCCTTATATGCACATCATAAACAAGGAAAATAAAAAGTTTTGCAGACATTGACTTCAACATTGAATGTATTATTTACAAACACTGGCAATGACTACTTACCAATGCCGATGAATATTGCAGCAAAGCCCTCTTCCTTCAGAGATCTTATATTCATTCCATGCATTCCTAGGCCCTTGCCCTCAATTACCTTATAAAAGAAAATACATTGCCAATTAAGAAAACTAATGTAATGTAACCTAATAAGAGGAAAGGGTGTTTGGAAACAGAGTAAAAACTTTGAAAGCCTGGAGGAGAATGAGACAGAATGCATAAGACAAAGGGGATACATAATATGATTTGCAAACTGCTCATTAAAATGTGATTAGAAAGAAGGTTCTTTCTCTGATTCGAAAAATGTACAGGGTAGGAAAAGAACAGACATTTAATATCTCTAACAATATTTTAAGGCATACAAATGGAAAAAATCTTAATATATTGCCATTTAGAACAGGTTATGTAAGGTAATGTTATGCTGCCTGAAAATATATGTATAAAAATTATATTACACTCATTTAGCACAATTGATCTGAGCTATTTCTCGTTATGTTGAGACATGATATTTGCAAGTATAACTTAAAAGGCATCACATCCAAACTGATACTCCTTATAGTTCCGTAGATCCTGGTGCTCTTACTGCTCCATCTTGAAGTTTTGATGGACAAGTAAGGGTGCCCCCCTCTTTTGTACATTCCATATGATTAAATAATTTGCAAAATCTAAGGACAGTGGGACCTTTGGTAGTGGCAAATGTCCTTAAGTGAAAATGTAGTTTTTCTACCACCTGACTTCCCAAGAGACACAAGAAACCCCAGGTTGTTCAGCAATGCAGTATCTTCCAAAAACAGAATCATTCATTTTTGGTTCACTAACCCTTTAAAGTAATGCATGAGTAGGGAAGAGTTAAAACCTCTCTCAGTTTTTTTTTTCTATCTATTTCAGAGATATCCTTTTACCTAGCGTGCTATAGCCAAAATAGAATATGAGAAAAAAAAATCTTTCTGAAGAAAGGCAAATAGGTGTCCCCATTGGAAGATTACGCCTTATTCATATTCTGCTTAGAACTAAAAATTTTAGATTTCCTTTGTTTTTAGCCCTGGCCTTGGTTACTAGGATAAATAGATAGGGTGAATCCCCCTAACAGGGATATAATTAGCAATCAAAATCTGACAGGGGATCTAATCCTTCACCACTGTATCCAAAATTAGATACATTTAAGCATACCTGTATTCAAATTTTGTTGAGACAGCAATTAAATAGGGATGCAACACAATTGTGAGTGTCAGATCCTTGTTTGTGCCAGTCTTGTGCTGCTCTTCCCCCTCCTCACACCTTGTGTGTGCGCAGGTATGAAAGCACTAAGGCAGGCAGGGAGAGAAGGCAGGGTGAAAAGGAACAGAGAGAAAGCCAGCAGCAGATGACATGTTGCCTAAATACCATGGAATGGATTCTTTATAAGAAGAATGCTGCTTTGCCCATTCAGGATAAAGCAATAGTGTCACTCTGGGGTCTCCCTTCCCAGCAATACATATTTAAATTTCCTTTGTTCTTCTGCTGGTGGGAGTGGGAAAACCCTATGTAAATACCAAGATGGTCTTGCTGGAGTTTGTATAAGCCCGAACAGGGCCGTAGCTAGCATGAGGCGAATGAGGCACTGGGCAAGCACAGGGTGCTAGGCGGCCAACACAGCTGCGGCCTGGCAGGGAGATAAAGGGCGGCACAGGCTCCAGCTTTTCCTTGGATCCCCACTGCTCTCCACCGCCTGTATGGCCAGAGGCAGCAGGGATCTGATGAGAAATGGAGCACTGCTGGCAGCAGTGGGGAGGGGGAGGGGAGAGGAAGGAAATGTCATGCAGTATGGCTGAGCGGTGAGGAGAGGGGGAGCCTCTTGGCCAGGATCTGACCGCCAGTGGCTCTCTCTCCCCTCACCACTTGGCCATCTGGAAGCTCCCTCATCCGCCCCTCCCGCCGGCCTCAGTGCTCCCTCCTCACCCCCTCAGGATGGAGAGCGAAGGATCAGTAAATATCAGTCATGTTCACCGATCCTCTGTGTGCAGCATAAATATTGGAGTGATTAGGTGATCACTCCAGTGTTTGTAAATAACTGGGGGCACAAAGATCTATGTGTCCCCAGTTATGAATGAACAAGAAGTGCTTAACATCACTTACTGTTCATTCCTGAGTTTCTCAATGGGTGGAAGCACTCACTATAGAGACTCCTAACCATTAATAACGGAATTATAGTAAATATTTTACTATCACCAGTTTCTGAATGAATGGGAAGCTTCTATACTGAGTGCGCTCCATTCATTTAGAACAGATGCTGCAGAAAAAGATTTAGGACACTGTGTCCTCAATTTCTTTTTCTATTTCAAAAGGGAAAGGTCAGGGGTCTGTTTAGACCCCTTATATGTCCCCCGAAGTCCCCAAACAGTAAAAAAATAATAATGAAAAATAAATGTAAGCCCCCCCCCCCACGCACACACTCATGCACACATATTAGCAGACATGTGCTAAGACTAAAAATTTGTTTTGGACAAAATTAATGGAAACTAAAAATGCTTTCATTAGATTCGTCAAACGAAATAAATTTTTATGTTATTTTGGATTTGGCCTCCAGCGCATTCTGCACAGCATCAGGTGACATCCCATGTCTGTTGGGGGGCACAATTTTGTGTTCTTGCCTTGGGCGCAAAGGGAGCTAGCTACGGCTCTGAGTCCAAGTACTCTATGACTCATCTTTATGTGAAAGTATAGGCCAATCACCAAGTACCAGTGCTGTTACATGAGAGAGAGAATTGAGAAAGTCACATGCTCCTCCATACCTAGAAGTGCTGAGTATTTTCTCTGCTGCCAACGGCTAAACAGATCTGCATGGTTTAATGGAAAAGCCATGTGCTGCTCAGGATGGCGCCAAAAAATTGCCTGTTGCTTTGCCCTTCATTGACAAAAGACAGATTCGCTTTTGCAAGAAATGTATATGTAGTGGAGGAATCACACCATTCTAAAAACTGCCCCCATTCAAGGCACCCCCTAATGTTAGCAGAAAGTGTGTTCACAACCAAGCCCCCCGATATACCATTTGAGAAAATGGAGCAGGTGGAGTGGAGGGGTTGAACCCAATCTTCTGTATGAATTACGACAAGGCTAGTAAAATGAAAGTGTTTGACACACCTGTTCATACCGAAACAAAGTGTCAGTCCTAGATAAATTATTAAATGTAAGTTTATAACATACTTCCTCCTCTAGCAAATGTTTACCCAAAGTTCTCAAAATGTAAAGTACTCAAAACACAAAGCAGTGCTTAGCTAATGTACACTTATATATCATTTACTCTGAATGAGAACATTTCCATTTCATGCATTTTTGTAAACAATATCTCCAATTTTCTCTGTTATTATGTACTGGCTGCAGTTACGTCAAATGTTTGTACAACGCTGCATTCCTGGAGAGCATAAGGAACCAGGGTCATGGCACAATAATGGAAATGTGTGGAAATGTACTGCTAAAAGCAAACATCTCATTACAGTGTTCCTGCATTGCAAAATGCTAGTAAAATACTAAAAGCACATGCATTTTTCTACTCTGGAAAAATAAAGAAGAAGCTGCATTGTAAAAAGAGAGTTTATATTCATAATATAACCTCAGTGCAAAAATTGTATTGATAATGTGCATTATTTTTAAGCATACAGGATATTTTATGCGTACAGCATAAGCTAAAGAATCTTATATTTATATTTTGCTGTATTGAAAAATGCAGGCCAAGTTGTATATTAAGCATTTCTTATTATATTAAACATAAGCAAGTCAAGCACACATATAATTTACTATTGCCTATGGTTCTGCCTTCAGTGAATCCTGCATTTATTCATAAGCAATCATGCCTAAACTACAAACAACAAACAGTGATATGGAGGATGGGGGATGGGGGATTATCATCCTTTACCTTCACATGCAATCTTAATGTTATGTGTTATGTAGAACCTAGTGCGGTGCAGCACCCAACCTATAATTGAATGAGATGAGTAGTGACCTAATGGTTTAGACCAGCGGTCGCCAACCTTTCGGACCTCATGGACCACTAAATTCATAATTTTAAATACTGCGGACCACTAATATGAATTTTTAAGAATATATATATATTCTTATATTCCTTGTTTCCTCATATATAAATATATTCTCATATGTGTGTATATATATAAATATATATATATATATATATATACATACACAGACACACACACACGAGAATATATTTATATATACACATACATACATACATACATACATACATACATACATACATAGGTGCGGGTGTGCCTGCAGGAGTGGCAGTGCTGGTGGAGGGAGGGAGCAGTGCCACCCACCCCGGCCCAGTAATAATATTGTTTCCCTCCTATCGAATCTGCCACTGGCCCTGCTGGCAGCACCCGGGGCACATGTCCCCTACTAGCTTCAGCACTGCGCCCAACCACCCCCGCACCTCCTCTTCCCCCACACTGAGCCACTATTACCTTGCTTCTTCCCACTTTTTCTATGTCCCGCAGCCTGCTCAGACCATGTACCGCCTCCTGCACAGCCCGCACTGTACTGAGAGCCACACATTCCTTGTGACAGCCACTGCTTGAGCCAGTGAGAGGCAACCCCGGAGCCTCTGTGCCGATTCAATTATGGCCCAGACTGCACGGCATTAGAGGGGCCCGGGGACCACCAAAAATTTCTCAGGGACCACCAGTTGGTGACAGCTGGTTTAGACTATAGCTAAGAATCAATTGATAATTTAGGTGGTAGTTATATTTACATTTGGGGAAAAGGGTTATATCATAGAAGGGCTTTCAGTCAAATTAACCCAAATAAATTCATGTCCATCTGTGAAAGGGCTGCTTTTTAAATGTTTCAATTTCCACCCACAATATTTAATGGTAAATGAAGAGCATACAGATCACAACAAATTTGGAAAGTTTATTCTTTAGTGTGCACCATCACATAATAGTTGACTGCAGGAGTGTCGGAAAACATTATATACAGGTAGACTTTGGTTGAAACTTTGTGCATGTTTAAACATCAGTCTCTCTACCGAGCCTCTTTCCACTTGCACAGATCTTAATGCCATCTAATTTCATAAATCAGCATCATTACCACATTAACAAGGCCAGAATCACACATAAAGAGGTAAAATCAGCACCAACTTGACTAACCCAAACTCGGAGTCATACTGCATTACTGTACTAATATGGTGGGAAAATGAGAAAGTAAGCAGAGTTTCAGAAATTAAATTGAAAGGACTTTTTGCTTTAAACTTTGAGAAGGAATGCCATCATGGTTCTGTAATTTCAGAAGTCAATGATGGTTTGTTTTAATGCATTTTTACTGCTTGTTTAGAATATGTAAATATTTGAGTGTCCATACCTGGGCTCACTTCTATTTCAAAGTGCAAACACTGAAAAAAAATCTCCTCCAACACAAATTTATGCAACAAGCTATAGATACCGGAAATGTGTAGAAGAAAACAAGCATTATATAAACACCATTTAGCAACAAAGACAGAACATTATTGACAATCACATATACAAGATTGTGTTTTAGCAGATTTGGTTAGGTAATTCTGTTGCATTTAGTCATCGCATGGAACCCCTAAAGCAACGTAACTTTGTTTTGTTTCTTTTTTTTAACGGGCAATTAATCACATGTGGGCATGGCGAATGAGAACTATCGATTGCCCTTTTCCAGACTTCTGGCATTCAGACAGCAGACAGACAAATGCCCTGAGCAATAGGAAGCATCTCTCTACCGCAGCCTACTGATGCTTTTAATTGTTTGCTACTAATGGACATGGTATTTAGCAGTTTACGTCTGGCAGATTAATTTATGTTATGATTATCATTACCTTAACACCGAGGTCCTTCATCAGCTCAATTTCAAAACTGACAACATCATATGGCAAACGGAACTGAGGGATTTCTGAAACACTGTAAAAAACACATAACCCACATATGATTGAGATTTATTAAACCCTACAAAGTATTCTTTAACATTTTTCAAAAAGATCAGCCAATGATTGAAAAACAAATTAATGGGTGATTTAAACTAGAACTGATCATTAAGATTTAAAACTTGGAACACAGAAGTACTACGTAATGTTTCCTGACACGTTAGCCTTGTGATCCCAAACCATTAGAACGTCTGACTTATGCAGCAATATTAGGTGACACAAACTGCATGAAAACACGTAAGAAACATAAATTCATTTTCTAGTGTATTGTCAAAGATTACAAGTAAAAATAAGTTCAAGATTTTAATTCAAAAAAGTATTTTGACAAATGTTAAAGTGGAACTGTTTTTATGTGTTTATGTAAAGCTGTTTGAAAGTGGCAATCAGCCAAATACAGTAATGAAATACAATTGTGTTTATTGTTTTTACCTGTTAAAAGATTGCCAGTTCTGTTCATCCAGGTCATGTAATTTATACATCCACATCCACATCCCACCGCAGATTAAGCTGGCCATACACTATGCAAATTCCGTCTGGCTTTTTATGAACCAGCCGAAATTTGCAAAGTGGGTGCCGCTGTCAGCACCCTGTGGGCTGGCATCCATCGATCAGAAGATCAAAAGAGCTGCATGGAAAATCATTGAACAAATGGTGCTTGCAGCTGATTGGCTGGCTGCCGTCAGAGTAGCCAAATGGTGCATGCAGCTCAATGGCTCACCACTGTCAGAATACCCAAACGGTGCTTGCAGCTGACTGTCAGAATACCCAAAAGGTGCTTGCAGCCAGAGGCCGCCGGCAGTCAGAATACAAAGGAAACAGCAAGTGATTCCTCCACCAATGCTCATAAGCTTTGATGGAGGAATCCGTTTTATTTTTTTTAATTTAACCTGCAGGTTGAACGAAAAAGAGAACAGTGTATGGCCAACTTTAGGATGATAAAAGTGTAAAATATTTATCTTTTCTGGAGAAGTGCTGCACCAGGTCCCCTCCATGACTGCTCACATAACCAAAGCCTAGGCATTTGATCAAGTGATCTCTGCTGATGAGCATGGTCAGTGGCTAAACCTTTTTTTTTTTTCTCCAGCAGAAATGTTGTAGCTGACAATTGCTCCACTGGGAAATTTGCTAATTCCTGATTCACTTTGCAGAGAAGACTATTTTCTGTATATAATCACAAATAATCCAGCTGGTATGAAGCTTTCACTAGTCCATTCTGGTGTTCCCCTACCACCTCCGTTCCCTTGAGAAGCAGGGATTCACTTCCCATGCTCCCTTACCAAGGAGCAGGCCTCAGCCAATAGCAACATAATTCCACGTAAACATTAAAGGAGGGATGATGTCATTCTTTTTTTGTTTCAAATAGGTTGTGGAGGTGGGTGGATGTCATTTTGAAGGGAGTTATAGGCCAAAAGCAGCGTGTGGTAGTAGAGTGGCCTGGAAGGACTTATAGTATTGAGACAATAGGCCGTCTGGGCCTGGACTCTTGCCTGGTTTTGATTGTTTAATAGAGTTTTGGAGTTCTTCTTCCGTGAGGGGTTTGTTTAATGAGGTCAGCAGTGTCTCGTCTATGGTAGGCATATTGGCTCTCGTCAGGAATTATCTTATGTGGCGAAGGCGATCTATGGCATTGGAATTCGATGGGGAAGTTTGGTTCAGGTTGTAAAGTGCGGCATAATATTCCTGGAAACAGGATGCTATCTCCGGTGGCAAGTGTGTCAGTTTGGAGGGGGAACTTCTGAAGCTATAGATGTGGGAGCTAAATTTTTTCGTACAGACCGTTCTGGCCATGAGTCTGCCGCACTTGTCGCCTTCTGAGTAGTAGTGTCCTGTGTGCAGGGTGAAGGCGTGTCTAATCTTGGTCGCCAGGAGGTGTAATAGCTCATGTCTGGTTTCTGTCAGTGCTAGTAGGTCGCGCTGGGCTAGGGATTATTTGTGGTTCATCTCTAGTTTGTGGAGTTTAGATTGGAGTGCCCGTATATGTGCCAAGCGTGCCTTCTTCAATTTTGCCGCTAGAGAAATGAGTCGCCCTCTGATGAAGCATTTGTGTGCTTCCCAGGTGACCATGGGGGACATTTCGCCCATTGCGTTAAAGGCGAAATATTCCTTCAGTTCTGTGTGTGTGTGTCTTTGAGTAGGGAGGTATTCAGTCTCCATGTGAAAGTGGTCGGATGAAGCAATGTTCCCGATTGAGGTAGATTGGAGTCTGGGCAGGTCTGATTGAGTCACAAAAATATAGTCTATTCAAGAGTACTTAGCATGAATGTGGGAGTAAAATGTATAATCACGTCCTGTGGGATTGAGCGTCCTCCAGATGTCCCAGAGCTGTAGTGTGTTGAGATGTTTTTTCAGGAATTTAAGGGTCCTGTATGGTAGTGAGGATCTACTGTCCGAGGTGTCGATAAGGGGGTCAAGGGGGGCGTTGAAATCTCCTCCTACAATTAACATGCCTTCTGTGAAATCAGAAAGTTTGGAGATTAATTTATTTAGGAAAGTTGCGCAGCGTTTGTTGGGGGAGTATACAGAGGCTATTGTTAGGGGAGTTTGGCCTAAGAGGCCTTTTAGGGCGATGCATCGATCAGTCAGTTCCTCCTGGATTTGAAAGGGGACATGTTTGTGAAGGATGGATACGCCTCAGGGTTTGTTGGAGGGGGAGGAGGCGTGATAGGCCGAGTGATAGTGATGATTGATAAGTTTGGAGATTTTGTTATATCTGAAGTGTGTCTCCTGGAACAGCGCTATGGATGCCATTTGTTTGTGTAAGTCTCCTAGGATTAAGGAGCATTTTTCGGGTGCATTAAGACCTTTTGCGTTGAGAGAGATCACCTTCAGGTTGGATAGGTCCCCCATTTTCTCAAGCTCAAGTGGGGGGTTAAGTGGGTAGGAGTCGGGACACGGGAAGTGGTGCCGATGGGGTCAGGAGAATGGGCAAGAATAGTCAGGGGAGGTAAGGGAGAGAAAGATTGAGTGAGATGGAGGAAAGAAAACAGATAGTAGGGTAATTCAACGGACAGTCAACCCCAGAGGTGTCCCCGGTGATGCCACACGAAGTGGCGTATGGCAGTACCGGGTGTAGTTTTAGCGAAATTTGGGATATGGGGTATTTAGGGGGCGGTCAGGCCTGTGGGTGTTGTCTGGCGAACAAAGGGATCGTAGGGCGGTGACCGCCGCACTTGGGGGGGTGGGACCAACATATCTAGGTGGACACAAAGATCAGATGGGAGAGTGTCCTTCAGCACCCTGCGACCCATCTAAAGTAGTTCGGTAGGGAGCAGGGTCAGACTATAGGCAGTAGAGCGACATGGGGGGAAGATGCGATTATGACTGTTAGAGTGGAGTGGTATACCGGGGGCGGTCGGGGCAGCCCCGGTGATTGGAGGCCGAGGGGGGGAGAGCGGACACCGCGAGCTGAGGGTTGACCACCCGTGTCGCTTTGGTAAGGGTCAAGGAAGTCGGATATAGCTTGTGGGCAACTGAGCCATTGGGTAATAAACATATAATCCCTATAGTAGGGTTGTGAAACCAAGGAGGACCTGAAATGTTAGCGGTAGTAGCTCGGTCAGTCCCCCGGTCCCACCTCCTTCTGATGCTATGAGCACGCACTGCTATGGTATACTACAGGTTGGTATAGGTATATCCCGATGCCTTGGTGAGGCGTCGGTGGGAGTAGTAATATTCTGTAGGAATGGTGAGCAAAGGCTTAGGATCCAGGGGGCGGAGCGAGCTAACTGTATGTCGCCATCAAGCCACTTAAAACTTTGAACAGGTAAATAGGTAAGCAAGTCAGTAACTCTCAACATAATAACAAAACAGTAGATCAACAAAATAACATTTCCCTACCTCAGATCTCCCAAATAAATTACTACAGGCTTACAACATCATAAGACAGGCAATGTCAATGAAACATTGCATTAAACACAATTCAAAATTCTTCATAGGGCATATGTTCCCTATTTCAGTACCTCTTCAGTTGCTCCCATGGGGACTTCTCCAACCTTATGCCCAAAGTGGTGTGCAGCAACCTGTGTTAACTCATTTCCTCTGGGATTGCCCAACTACATTGCTCTTTTGGAGCAATAATGCGCTATATATTAGCCAAATACTAGACTGGAAGCTCCTTTAGAACATCTTCTCTTTTACTGTTCAGCTATAATTCACGTATGACAAGATTTCAGAGCAAAGGATAAACCAAGAGGTCTGTGTCGCTACATATTTGCCTTTTGGCAGCCAGACGTTGTATAATGTTTGGATGGTCTTCACTTAGTCCTCTCAGGTTTCAAAGGGTTAAATATGATCTTAAACATTTATTCTTCCTACAAATACTAGACACTGAGTTGGAAACTCACTCACTGCTCGATTTTTTGGTAGCTGGAAACCTTTTTTGAATTTTTATTTTTTACAAGCTGTTAAATTAAACAGTGTATGCTACCTTTCTGTTACACTAAATGGTATGCCAAATTCCAGCTTACTAATACTTTGTGACCTCTAACTGTGGACATTTAGCCTGTTCTGTTCAATTCTCAGGATGTGTTTTGCTTTTTATGTGTTAAACTTTTTTATGTCATACAAATACAATAGCTTCTATACATAGGTATTATTTGATGGGATAGTATCAGAAATTAAAAGGGTCCCCTTAAGCCCCACTTGGCTGCATGGATAAAGTCTGCAAAATGTAAGATTGCAACCGCAGTGTAAAAATGAGGTTATCCTGTGTAGGATTTTTTATTAGAACTTTGGACCCTAACCATGATTTAATATAATGTGTCTCTTTTGCTTTCAATACAACAATTAAAGTGTTGCTATTATCATGTGTTTTATAATGAGAAGGGAAATCCAGCCTACACATTTAAGTAATATTGTTATTTCCCTATATTGTTTTAACATGGTTGAATATTAATAATCAAGGTGCTTCTACAGTCTTGAGGTTTGCAATAACCCTAACAACCACTCAGGTCCCATATATTTTTATTGTGTAGACTAAAAAATAAAATAAGGTATGTGATTGGTATATTGACACTTTACTTTAAAACCTTTTCATATGAAAAGAGTCTTTCCACTGACATTTTTTATTTTTCTCTTACCTTAACCCTCCAGCATAATTCTGTTTCTCAAATACAGTAATATCAGAATATCCAAGCCGAGCTAAGAAGGAGGCACAGCTGATGCTGGCAGGTCCAGCACCAATAAGAGCAATCCTTGTCTTGTATGATGCGGGCATATCTTCAACAGGAGGGAGAGTAGGATTTCTTATCTGAGGTACTTTCATTGCTTTAAAAACCTGGAAAAAAAGTAAAAAAGAAAACATATTAAATCCTTTCATCACTATCTAGATTTTAAAACACAGATGCCACTGTGTTTATATATCCCTTAATAATCACATTCTACTGTGTGAGCAGCTGGGGGCACCCTCATTACTGGGTTATTATGTCTTATATAACACCTGTGAACTTTTAAATGCTTTCAAAACTCATCACTTTAGACATGCAGATATCATAACTAGATAACTCATTATAATCCTCAAGTCATCTGACATAATGCTTTCCAGTACAAGTGGATTTTTTTTTTTAGCAAATAGTCTTTATTAAAGCTTTATCAATACATGACAAGAAGGCAACTCAGCCTGTCCCCATCGGGGTACAGACGTAAACTTGTAATACTCATCAGTAACAAGACATTACAAAGGGAGAACAGAAAAAGAAAAAAAAACCGGAAGTCGTACAAGTGGATTTAAAGACAAGACTCTTTAATCTCAGTTGTTGTTCTCTTATTTTCAGTACGTTTTTAATATTCCTTCTTTTTAAACTGGGCTCATCTTTATTAAAATGCTGATTTGTTCTGCAACAACAATGGTCATTTAAAGTGTATGTATAGTATATCATAAATATATATAGTACAAATAAGTTATATGTAAATTTCATGACTCCATATTGTGACAGTTACACACATGGATTAGAGATGTGTTATATATAAAGTATATCCCATAAATAGCACATTTATTGAAAATAAAGTGTGTAAAATAGTGAAAATATAAAAAGATCAGTATGACATGTTGTGCCATAGATGTTGCTATCATAATATTGAGTACAAGATTTTACATGCATTTATCTAAAGCTATAGAAAAGTTTTGGCTATACATACACTTTATTTCTTACCATCATGGTCTTAAACATTTAGGACCCTGGGTTATATGGATACATAAAATTGAGAGTTTTGATTTCTCCAAGTGATTTCAGTAAAATGCTAAAATGTTTTGTCCATTCTGTTTCTCAAAAGCTCACTACAAAGAGACAAATTAATTCACAGTAACGGGTTACATAGAAGTCAAACTATGGACATGTGACTTAGGTGACAAGGAGTCAACAATCCCAGAGGCTGGTATCATTTTGGCATATAAAGTACAAATAGATACGACAGAGCTGTCCAATTTCTATGTCATCCAGTTAGGAGAGTTCCATGTAGGTATGTAGAGTTCGACCCAGGTCTAATATATTACATTTATTTTATATACGAAATAATGACTTTAATTTTCAATGTTGAACTGACCCAGTAATGTGTGTGTTTTATAGCACAAGAAATGTTATTTAAAAATAGTGGATCAAACAAGTGCTCTTGAGAATGGAACAGCAAAACAATAAAATATACAAATATGCCAACTAAATCCTAATAAAACTCAGAGCTAAAATGTCATTTTGATTATGTCTCCATCTCCACTGGTTATCTAATTGTCATGATAGGAGTCTAGTTGACTATTTCACACTCAAATGCTGTGAGTGCGCTATCACAGTCATTTAATAGCAAGTAACCTCTGTGGCTTGCCTTCTAGGAATATGTCCAATGTAATCTCTTTCCAGTCATTTGCTTAGTACAGTTAGGTTTAATGTGAAAATATCACTTCAACTGCACAGTAGAAAAATCCATATAAAAGGAAGTCAAAAATAAAATTATATTTGGATAAACCCACAAATCATTTGGATTAATTTAAAATTCAATAATGTGCTATCATTCTTTGCAAAATTAGATGAATACATTTGCAAACCTTTGCAAATTTTCTAGATTTGAGGAATGGTTTCTTATTTTACCTAATCTTCATGCATGTCATAAATTCATTGTCCATGCGGAGCAAAATAGAAGGTTCACTCATTACCCCCCTTCCTAGATAACTTCCCCACTCCCACAGCACTGAGCCAATAACAAGACACCAATGCTTTCACATGAGAAAGGGCCACATGCTTACTTATACCCAAAGAGAAAGCATTTTACTTCCTTTCTGGAAGCTAAATGTAGTTGAAAGAGAGTGAGAAAGGTAAAAGCATGCTTCTGAGGATGGGAGTTAAGTGATTATTTTTACAGCATCTCAAAAAAGGAAAGGTTTACTTTAAAGTATATTTCTAGTTTTTCAGTCAAATTGGAATAATACCGGATTTATATTTGTTACATGTTTCCATTCACATAAATTGATGCTTTCCTTTTTTCCATAGCAAAAAATGGTGCTTTCCTTTTTACTTGCTCTCTTCTAAAAACTGAAAAATCCTACATAGCTTTCATCTTTCAATGACCTCCTCTGTAATGTTACGGAGGGGATTGGGGATTTATGTTTATCATAATTAACTCTGCCTAATATCAAAAATATCAAGGTTTGAGTGGTACATTGCATGTTAATGCACTTGCAGTCCAGTCTGTCCCTAACGTGCCCCTAAATAAGCACATTGCAAGTTAATCTGAACAATAAACACTGTCTATAGCAGTGGTTCTCAACCTTTCTAGGGCTGGGACCCCTTGGTAACATTTGCCAAGTTGTGGTGACCCCCATAGGTAAAATTTAGGGATGACGCGGCTGCTGCAGCGACATCTGGAGGCGTGGCAATAGAACTGACACTGCTGCGCTAGGAGAGAGCTGAGGAGGACTATCACCTTGCACAGCGACCCACAGGTTGAGAACCACTGCTATAGGCAAGTACAGGACCGAGCTCTGCAGCTGGAACTAGAAGAATTGGATTTAAAGTGTGTGGCTATATAACGTATGCGGTACATTCTCTGCAGTACTGTCACTGATAGGGATGGGCTCAGGCGTGTTCGCAGCTCCACGTGCCAAGCCCACCAGGAAGCTGACAGCGCGCAGTGCCAATCACAGGCACTGAGACATTTCCCGATCTCTGCAGCTGCGGACCGAGAAAATGGAATGCATAGCTAGAAGTGTGTTTTACATATTTTTTGGCTTGAATACATACATATTGCACTAGAAGGGGACCTGATGGAGAACTTCAGGTCCCCCTCTGCTGATTGGCAGCATCAGAGGGTGGGTGCAATAGCTAGTTTGCTATTGGCTTTTTCAAAGTGAAATAGCCAATAGGAATCTAGCTATGCATTCCTATGGTGGGTTTTTTTTTCTGACTTACGGCGGCCCCCCGATTTAGAAAAAACAAAACAGAGCAGAGAAAGGTCCCGACCTTTCCGGGAGAAAGTGTCTCTCTGCCGGTGGCCTAGAGCCACAAGGCGACCCCTGGCAAATCATCATTTGACCCCCGAGGTCCCGACCCACAGGTTGAGAACCACTGGGTTGTGTGTCATCCCTTTCTTCGAAGAAACTAGAACTAGAAAGGTATGATGAACTTTTGTTAAATTCCTTTCGAGTATGCTAAAATCTAGGTTAACATAGGAAACTGATGTCTGGATATTCCAATCAATGAGTCAGGTCAGTCTGGTAAGACATGAGTATAACCTATTAGCTCATTGGCACACCACTCAATTCTCATATAGGTAACAAAAATCCAGTGTGACCACAATAATCTACAGGCATCACTTAACAACATGATCACTTGATAATATCAGTGTTCATGAGTCTGCTGTTGCTCACTCCTGCCACCTGCCTGAGAGTTAAGTAATACGTAAACAAATATACTGTAGTGTACTGTAAATGTGACAAATTCATACCTTTGCATTATAACAACACACGAGCTAGATATTGGTTTAAATTAGCTATTTCTCATCTCTTCAGTGCATTGATGTGTGTTATCAATTTTTATCTCCCTTACCTTTCAATATTGGTATATTAATGTTGCCTGGGACAATGCCCTAAGCTGAAGATACATTTAAAAAAATCCCTTACATTGAAAGGTTGCAGCTGACATTTTGTGCAACTGCTAGATCTCAAACGAGGCTGTCACTGACAGCACAGGTCCCCACAAATGAACGGGAACCAATCAAAGCAATTTCTGGTCAAGTGATCACTATGTCAGCTATGACATAGTGATCACATGAAGGCTAGAGGATTATGTGACAAAATAAGCTTTCAAGCTTCACATAGCAATGTAGATTGTACTGCAACCTGAAGGTGGCAGTGTGCATCTGTTTAATCCTGCAGTTGTTAGATACAATGACAGTATTTAAAACAGAATATATTAATTAAATAGAACTTTTGCCAGCTTATAAAGGTTGTTATGTCCTAAAAAAAATAGGTATGCACATTATTCATAGCATTAATTTCAAGTTAACTGGAAAATTTGGCCTGGGTATCTAGGCATCAATGACCTCACAAAAGGTATACAAACTATGCACTACCCATGAGTCTGAAAGCAAGAGCACTGCTTTAATCTAAAGTGATTTTATATAATAAAAGTGAGCTGCCTAATTTAAATTAGGTATTGGTAAAACTAATGCAGAATATCTAAACAAAAAATCTTTCTTTTTGTATAACACTCTCCTCCCCTGCTGGCAATTAAAGTGGATTAATATTACAATAGCTTTGGAAACAAATTTATTCTAATAGCATAAGTAGGTATTACTATATTTTAATTGACTCATTTAGGCGCTTCCATAGAGATGAGAAAGAATTGGTATATCAGTGCTGGTTCCTATTAAGGTTCTACCTATTAGATCATAGGCTCATATTAGAAAGACCGAGACCATATTGTGCTAATAATCTATCCAAAACACTCTGTTCCAGTTGGTATTAACATCATGGGGCTTTTCAAATAAAAAGAACATCATTTCTTAAAGCTACATCACATATTAGTTTAGGAAAAACAAAATTAATTGTAACATGTCCATATTGTTTGTGGATGTATTCATTTTTTGACACAACTGCAGCATTTTTGAACTTAGCATTAGCAACTGGAATGCCCTGTAGTGCTTCCTAAGACAGGAAATGGAACAATGCCCAACAGAGACAGACAGTGATTTACTCTCACTCCCTGTTCTTAACAAAGGGCACAGTCAGGAATAAACCTGCCAAAGGTTACAGCCCTTCTTCATTAAAATATACAAGACTGCTATTTTTTG